GATCCACCTTGAAAGTCACTGGGTTTCCAGTATTACCATATCAAAGTAGAAAAACATATAGCAGCCCCATCAGAATATCAACATTTACAAGTGGGATTCATTTTAACAAGCTTAGAGTACTTTCCCAAGACAGGCCTCAAAACACAGATGTGTGCGTACATATACACTTCAGAAGAAATCGTACATACACGTACATAAATAGAAACAGAGAAAAAACAGCTCGGATTACCATCCTCAGCGGTAGATTTCAAATTCACTGAGCCGATAACAACAGAGAAACTGATATGTTTAATCTGTGGTATATGCTACAAAGGATTATAATAATCGTAAAGCTGCCTGATTTGAACACAAATCCAGACAACCACCTCAAGATAAGTCTATGAAAGTATTAAAAGTTGAAAAACCTTGGTATACAAATGTGCAAAAACAAACAAAACTGATTTGATATTGGATACAATGTAATACAGACTTGTCCCATACATCGACTTGTCCCTAATAAATTTGTTATTATTGTTGTAAAAAAGTCATTATAGTTGAATAAAATCAGAAACCACTCTAAAGACTGATAAACTGATTAAATACTCCATTTTGCCGCCATAAATTTGCATCTCCATATTTGTATCTTTAGAGGGGTAATTTCATATGAAATTAGAACTACAGATGGGGGGGGGGGGGCATATTGACCATCACCCCCCTTTCCCCTAACTCAATGAGAAATATATTCTATGTTTGTTTGTTTTTCTACAATAAATAAAATAGCAGATCTGTCACGTCAAATCTGCATTAGAAGCCGCATCCCGAACAGAAGCCACACACATTTTTTTGGATCAATTTAGAACCAAAAATGTGTGAATGCTCTGATAGAAGCCGTAAAACCGCATCCCCTCTGTTGAATTGTACCATTTTAATAGAAGCAGTGGCTTCTTATACAGATTTTATGATACATATCCCTTAGCACAACAATCCAGACCCCTTGCCCCATTCTTTGGTAAAATGTATTTTTCAATGATTTTATTGTTAATATTAAAATAAATGGACAACATTACTCAACTGCTGCAGGTGTTGATAAAAATAAATAAAAATATTAAAAAAAATTATTATGTGAAAAGGTGACAATAGCAGGCATGGAAGGTATTAAACATGAAGTCACTATCAAGAAATACAGATGAGACTTTCTCGCCTGAATTTTTCTGCACTTTTTTCTTATATTCTTCAATATTTCTGAAAATGAATTTTAATTTTGGAGCCAGCTGACAAAAATTTGAGTCAATTTTCAGTTTTCACTCAACAAATTTGACTATTTTTATCCCAATCTTCTGAAAGAAAGCGCAGACTATGAGCAGGACTATTTTGTGATGAAAAGAGGGAACTGGTGGTGAAAAGGTTAATTTAGCATAAAATATCAGTTGACGACAAGAGAGTACTTTCGAAAAACAGGAATGAGCAAACCCCTGAGATTCAAAGAACACATTCGGAGGAAAGAAAATAATGTGAAGCAAGAGAAAAATAATATGGAAACCATTAATAATAAAGTAGAACATAAAACACAATCATTTAAATGACAATACTTGAATAAAATTACAGAAAGGGTGATAATCAAAAGTCAATGGTTGCTATGGTAATGACTGAAATCAATACCAAATATTAAGTAAGTGGTGGGAAGTGGCATAAAGCTACTTTACAAAGTGGGATAAATTAATTTCCATAGAGTAGGGGAAGCTTTGAGTTGGTGTTCACCACTGGGTGGCCATTATGAATTGAGGTAACTGTCAAGAATGAATTATCACTACCTTCAATCCCAGGCCCATCCATATTTATTTTCACTATAGTAAATTTCAAAATACGTTTTTATATAATGTATCTGACGGAACAGGTAAAATAAGGAAATATATTCTTTGAGGTGGATTGGTGTGCTGCTGATATGGAAGTCATTCACATAAAATGCCAACTGTTGTTGTCGTGCATTTGTTTTTTAATATATTATGTTTATTTAAAGTAGCCGGACATTATGTCAAATTTTAGCATCTGTTTTGGAGGTAGTTTTACACTGTCCCTATCCAGTATATAGGAAAACCGGAGTGGACTTGGCAGAATTATTGAGAAATGAAGATCCTAATGATTTCTTGAGTCTATTTTTCCTTCATTCCTGGCATAACCAATGAAATACACCTACCCACCTACTTTTGTAACTTATTGAGTGAAGTTTTTAGCATTCTACCAACATAAATATTCAAACTGGGCAAGTAAATTATTTGAGCTTAATTAGTGAAATAATCACCATTTTTAATTAATTTGAAAACCACCCTAATTAGAATTATGAGACATAATATTTATAAAAAATCAAATCACATTTTTTTTATGAATATTATTCATGGTGAAAAATGTAAGTATAAATTCTTCAATTCTATTCTTTACCAATTTAACAACAGCTGTCTCTCTCTAACCATGGCAACCTTAGCTGACAGAATCAATCTCTGTATGTTGTTAAGACAGCTGCATAGATCTGTTGCCATTTTGGTGTAACATTAGACTTACAGTAAACTCAAATAGCCATCATGATCAATTATTGCTTATGTATGATGATTAGTTAGTAATTAAAGACTAAAAAACAACAGTATATTATTACAACACTCCCATGTAGTCCCCCAGGATGCAACATTGACAGTCTACTTGTTGAATCTGTATGTAAAATAGTCATTAAAACCAAGGGTAGATGAATCTAAAGGGGTGTGAATCTTGCATATTCATTTTAATGCAATTGTAAAAATAGTGATTATATTACAGTTTGGTACATCGAAAAAATTTAATATTAAAGTGCCACAGTTGCCCCGCTGTGTCATGTTCGATGAGTCCCATACGATATATACAACGCATAGAACACACATTGTCTGCACTAGGGTGGGTGGGTGCCATTTTTAAAATACAGTCAAAACACCTTTATGTAAAGACCACCTTGTCTTATGTGACCAACTTTTAAGCAATATTACCATTGTTTAGGGGCCAAAATATTAATTATGAAATTTTTAAGTCCAACTTATTTGATTTTGATCAACTCATGGTTTTGTTGCAACAGTACCATCTCATTATTTTCTGGAAAAATATTATATCAAATGTATGAGTTGAAAATCCATAAAACAAGCAGCCTATCGGCTGAGATAGCTCCGCTGTTAGGTTAGCAATTCACATTTCAATTAAAGAACTGAAGACATCATTAGAAAATGAACAATATGTATAGTATCAAAGCAATCGGACTTACAGTTTTTAACAAGAAGTCGAAAATATCACTTTCTACCAAAAATGACAAAAATATTCACCAAATTAGAGAATTGAAGATATCATCACGAAATGAACAAATCTGAGAAAGGTCCACATGTAGTATCTATATATGTAATATCAAAGCAAGTGAACTTTTGGTTTTTAACAAGAAGTCGAAAATATCACTTTTTACCAAAAATTACAAAATTATTCACCAAAATTAGAGAATTGAAGATATCATCACAATATGAACAAATCTGAGAGAGGTCCACATGTAGTACCAGGGGTACCTATATATGCAATATCAAAGCAATCGGACTTACAGTTTTTAACAAGAAGTCGAAAATATCACTTTTTACCAAAAATGACGAAAATATTCACCAAAATTAGAGAATTGAAGATATCATCACAAAATGAACAAATCTGAGAGAGGTCCACATGTAGTACCTATATATGTAATATCAAAGCAATCGGACTTGCTGTTTTCAACAAGAAGTCGAAAATATCACTTTTTACCAAAAATGACAAAAATATTCACCAAAATTAGAGAATTTAAGATATCATCACGAAATGAACAAATCTGAGAGAGGTCCACATGTAGTACCTATATATGTAGTATTAAAGCAATTGAATTTGCGGTTTTTAACAAGAAGTCAAAAATATCACTTTTTACCAAAAATGACAAAAATATTCACCAAAATTAGAGAATTGAAGATATCAACATGAAACGAACAAACCTAAGAGAGGTCTAGACAAGGTACATATACACCAAGTATCAAAGCATTCAGGCTTGTAGTTTTCAAGAAGAAGTCGAAAAAGTAAAACATTGACACGGACGACGACGGACAATCACTCATATGATAAGCTCCACTCGACAAAGTCGACAGCGGAGCTAAACATGGTCCACCCACAATTTTAACTCTCAATATTAATATATTATTATACATCTGTCACCTAACACCATAAGTTCAATACAGCGTTCCGTTATTTTGCGGTATTTTACAGGGTATTTTCATCCTACCATATAAGGAAATGTGAATTCCAAATATGAAATGATTATGTGCATAAACGTCTTCTAATAATAAAAACAAAACCAAGCTCCACACAAAGACGTATGCTAATTCTGTTCTAAAGTTTTTGGATTTCGGCATTCCCATGATGTATCCTTGGAAGAAAAAGATGTATAATAATAAGGTTATTATGAGGATACCTAAAAGTATGCACTCAGACTGTCACAGTACACTGTCGCATCAACCTCAGCTGCGCGATGGTTGATACTTGTGTATACTTTGAGGTATCCTTGTAATAATCTCACATGTGAAATAACATTCTGTAATAACATTAAATGTTAAAATGATCTTGGTATTAATCACGGATGAGTTTTTGAGAGTGTGACGGTTTTTTGTCTGGGAATGTTCAAGCAAGGCATATGCAAAGACAGCAGCAAAAATTCAATTCCCAGGTATTTGTATACTATTACCGTACTCAACCGTGTTAGCGCCCATGCCCAGGCAAGCGCCCACCCCCCACTTTTGCGCAATTTTTTTATTTGGGGTCACATTCGGCAAAGTGCCCACTCCTTCAAAATGCAACTAATTAAAATATTGGTCTTGCGTAACGAATCTTGGTAATCGTTTTTATATGATACAGCGTGGATATCGACCGCTGTGAATATGTTGTGAATGCGTAGACCACGGTAACCGTGCATAGACTACGCTTCGAAATGACCTATTAATACAAGTAAAATGCGGTAAATATTCCATGCCATATTCAGTTTACCTCTCAAAAATGGCTAGTTACTAGTTTTTTGGAAAATCCATCTCGTTTATTCGCTGAAATCAATTCCAACAGATCGTACTTCGACAACGATAATTCACTTCAGCATTGCGTTACCGGAAAGTCATCAGGAATTTCCGAAGAATTGCGTCGGTACAACACAGCATTCTGATTGGTCAATAACCAACTTGACCCATTAGGTCAAAGGAGGCTGCTGAAGGTCAAATCTGCAAATGCATCATGGCGGAAAGTGATTTTCATCAAGAGTTTGCGTACGATCCAACACCTTCGTCAGTGAGACTCAAATGTTTTTAATTTTGTAAATTCTGGTGGTACTTAATTAATATTGTAATAAACTGTGCATATTTTTTGTGATCATTTCTGATTCTTCATTGTGAAAATCAATGATGATGCAACTAATTTTGTAATTTGATTTTCCCTCAAGGATGATGAATCAAAATTTTCATTTGCACTCTTTTTCGAGGGGGGTGCTCGGGTAAGCGCCCACCCCTAAAAAATCATGATTTTCTGAATTGAGGCCCCTGGGCGCTAACACGGTCGAGTACAGTATTATATATACAAGTCACTGTGACCCCGTTGGAATCACTGTGACCCCAGTGGACGTCACTGTGACCCCGGTGGACGTCACTGTGACCCCGGTGGACGTCACTGTGACCCCGGTGGAAGTCACTGTGACCCCGGTGGAAGTCACTGTGACCCCGGTGGAAGTCACTGTGACCCCGGTGGAAGTCACTGTGACCCCGGTGGAAGTCACTGTGACCCCGGTGGAAGTCACTGTGACCTCGGTGGAAGTCACTGTGACCCAAGTGGAAGTCACTGTGACCCTGGTGGAAGTCACTGTGACCTCGGTGGAAGTCACTGTGACCTAAGTGGAAGTCACTGTGACCCCGGTGGAAGTCACTGTGACCCCGGTGGAAGTCACTGTGACCTCGGTGGAAGTCACTGTGACCCAAGTGGAAGTCACTGTGACCCTGGTGGAAGTCACTGTGACCTCGGTGGAAGTCACTGTGACCTAGATGGAAGTCACTGTGACCTAGGTGGAAGTCACTGTGACCTAGGTGCAAGTCACTGTGACCTAGGTGCAAGTCACTGTGACCTAGGTGCAAGTCATTGTGACACTGATGGAAGTCAGATTGACCCCAGTGGAAGTTACTGTGACCCCAGTAAAAATCAATGTGACCCAGGTGGCACTCACTATGACCCAAGTGGCACTCACAATGATCCAGGTGAGATGTTCATGAACAAGAGGTGATAGGAATAAAGAAAATATTTGATACCAAGTAATTATCAATATAATTGCAGTGTCAGGTAAGGAAGCCAATTGTGGAATGTAAATGTAAACTTTATTAGAGAACCAAGTACAACATGATCTAACAAGACTTTTATTCAAAGAATTATCAGCTAATAGAAATGATAATCGCATTTACTTCATTATTCATTTAAATTTTAAAAAGATAATTTATCACTCCTTAATAATCTTATCAATTATTCAATTAGAAAAGATCCCTACCTACCAGAGCTCATCATCCCTAATATCCTAATGGAGAAGTTGCCTAGCAACATAGTAGAAAGACAAAACCCAAGAGACAGAAATAATTTATTATTTCTCATTAATAATTACAGATAAAATAGACACACATGTGACAGTGTAGTTATCGTCAGTTAAAGACAACCTTTTTCTGACTTTTTAAAGTTGCATTCCAACTTCGCAAACAACTCCTAGAGCAAGCTAAAAACACAAAATGTTAAAATGAAGCCGTTTTTAATAAAATTATGATATTTAAAATATGAAACTAGAGGGTCTTATCCCTCAGAATAACATAACTACAATATAACTGACTTTCAATGATCAAAATACTGTAATTAAACAACCGTAAAAAAATTTCTAAAATCGCCAATTACATTAGATCAAGCTCAAATTTTAGATCAAATTTAAATATCCAAAAGAATATTCTCTGTGTTTTTGCTGTGCCAGTTGTCTAAAAAAAACCTGTCTGGGCTAATTTGCATAATTACCAGAATTAATAAAGATAAGAAAATATGTAAATTTGGTCACAAAAATATGAATAATAATTCCACTCGGGTCATTCATTGTTATATTCAAAGGACCAATGAGGAAAACAAAAATTATTGTAAAAAGTTACTTCTGACCATAAAATGTGGAATATTATTATACGAAAATGAAAAAAAAAATATGAAATTCAATAGTGGTATCACAAGCAAACGCTTGAGTGAGCATTGTTAGATCAGCTAGTTGATGTACATATATGCTTCCCGCAATTCAGTGAAGCAAGACCCAAAAGCCTCTAGAAACAAAATATCACATTCTTAGATCATGTTTGTTTTCAAATCAGTGATTTCAATCGTCATTAGAGTAACGAGTATCAGTTTTTTAAGCCTATCAAATTCAGATCTGAAAACACAAATTATCCGAGTATTATGGAAGTTATTTGCCTTTAAACAGAGCATGAAGACAACTTTAGCTGTATTTAAATATTCCAATAGACAATATACCAATTTTGATACAGACAGCATAAAAAATTTGTCTGTTGCTATGGAGTTTTATGCAAGTCAATTCACCTGGCAGCCATTTTGAAAATATGTATCTACAGACATCCACTATTTTCTGTCTGCTTACTCGTTAATTAGTCATTACCATAGAAACTGAAGTGAAAATCTTAAAAGTATTTTCAACTGGAAAGTTTAAGTCTTGCTTTTCATTGTTGTCTTTGCGTTGCTTCTGAGTGACGAAACTGATTTTTTTTTTAATTGTAAAGGTAGCCCGTAGCAGAATGCTATGGCAAGAGTAATGTTCGAAATTGTGCTACGGTAATATCTGTTTAAACTGGCAAAGAAACAGAGCATATCTTAGCAGATGCCCAGGTCAAAGGTCAAGGGGCTTAAATGACTTGACAGCTGTCTGGGTCAAAAGTTCAGGAAAAGGTCCCAGGAAACACAACATGCCGTCATATTACGTAAAACTAGTAGAAATCACAACAAGCTGTTTTTCGTATGTATTCGTTTGGTTGCGGTTAATGATCTGGTTCTGGGCAGTTGCTCACAGTGAGCAGAAACAGCGTAGTTGATGTGCAATATGTTGGCACATGGAATAGCGCTGTTCGGCATCGCATGGTTTTATTTATCTGATGGTAATAATATAAATGACGACACTAGAGACAATGGAACACGTTTTGGAAATGAAATACATTATTCGTTATGGCTTTAAACATCTTTCCTTGACACCTGCAGCAAGTTTACCGCTGAATCCAGTCATCGTCAGAAACATTATAAACGGCATCCTGAGTCTGTCACTTTAACAACGACTTTTATTGATTGTGTTTACTTTTGTGTTTGTCTGAATCAAACGTTGTCATGAATAATTAACAATATGGCAGAACACTTAGTAACATCAACAACACTACTGACAAGATAAGGTGACATGAGGGACATAAATTATCAACCAAAATAGTGACAATACATATTCATGATTTAATCGACTGCATGTTCAGTATTTTCGAACGTCACTGCTCTGGATTATATTGAGAGCAATTTTTGATATCTAGACAGAAGTTCCCTGCAAAAATAACATCAAGAATGTTGTGTGTAGGTTGCCTGGTGATGCAAGAGTACATTGCCTTGATTTCAAACTTTAATTGAAAATAGATTATATTTCTCAATATTTGGGGTGTCATATTGTGAAATTGCAGGACAGGTAAGATTGTTGAAAGTTGACAACAGTGTTCAGACACTAGGCTATCTAGAAAACCACACCCACACCCCAATTTTTTCACATTTCAGGACTCATATATTGAAATAGAAATAAACGGACTACAAATCTGACTGATTTGGAAGCATATCTCATTTTTTTTATGAACATAAATTTATAAAGATATGTACATGAGAACCGGTAAGGTAACCTCTATTCATGAGATAGAAATTTCTTAACTCACTAAAAATAGACAACATAGACTGGTTGATACTGTTAAAATGGATTTTGGATTGAGTCAGACACATTAGTTTGGCAGATTTGATAAACCAACATGTCTGATCACATGATACAGAGAAAACCGTATAAGAAGATTGCCTACTTTACTGGCGTCAAGCATTTCATATTCAGCTATGCAGAAATACTGTAAATGCATTAATTATTCACTGGGTTTTAATTTCGCTATAATGAAATCTGCTATTATAATGAATCCACGTGAGTATGTAACACCATATCATAAATAGGAATGTCAAAATATCAAAAACAGTAAAATTAAATACCGCAGAGACTCCAAAATTTTGCCAACTCTAAAAATTCGACCACCTAGTTATTTGGCTGGTTTTCGTAATTTGTTGACCTTCAAAATTTCGACCTTACCAGAAATTGCTCACTTATTTTTACTCCAAAATTTTTTTTAGAAAAGTGATTCTCTATGTTGATGGAGGAAAGTGCGTGTAATTTTGTTTGACGTTTAATTCGCGAAGCAACCGTATATAACCCAACTTTTATATTCATTGAATTCTAAAAAATTTGACTGGTCGAAAATTCATCACTATTTTGTTTTCTAAAAAACCAACTGTTTTTCAAAACCAATCATTTAAAAGTGGTCGAAGTTTTTTCCGCACTAGTGAAAATTATGCTTTTACAGTAAAATGTTATGTAATTTACTGTAAACAAATTCATTTCATTAAACAAAAAGTCTGGGAAAATCACAACACAGAGAAGCAATGAATTTTGGGAAATTGGAATCTCTGTGAATGACAGGAAATCGCAAAAAAAAATATATATAGCAACAAATCGTTAAATAGCATCTAATGTACTTGAAACGTTATAGACTTAGGACACTGGGAACTGAAATGTAAAGTTTTAATTGGAACATCTGAAGTACTGTCACGATAATTAACCAATTATCAAAGTTATAAAGATCCTGTTGTTTGACTTTATCATGCTGCATTTTAACCAATAGGATTATGCAAATTAAGCATACTGGTCAGTATAAGGTATCAGTACTGCTACGTAATCCACTCCTCAGTGGGATAAGACCTCGGCAACTGTTTTTCACAGTGAATTAACATGTCACTCGGCTGGAAATACAGAATTCCAACTACATTCTCGCCACGGTCGAGTAAAAAGTTCAATCAAACTGAGAAAGTTCATCAGTGAGTGTTGTTTTCAATAAGAGAATGGAATTTAGATATACGTGTAGATAGGAACACGGAAGAGAAGCATTTTTTATTGTCTTACTGCACTGAGGCACTGTTACTGTCCAATAAGAAAATATTTCAAGGCCAATTAGTTTTCCAATATCAATTTTTTAAATTTTATTTTACAAATTATCATAAGACATGTGATTTGATTTTTCATTTAAATTATTTTTTTCTAAAATATTGACAAACATCAACATTTCATCACTATCATTATAGAATCTGCCAAGTTCAAATGCTTGATGCAGGTATCCCAGCATGCTCTTGCCTTACGATAACATCCTACCACATTCAAATTTACAAATTTTAAAAACCAATTTGTTTAACCCTAATTTTTATCGTGTGTAGGCAACATTTCTATTTTGAAACTACAGAGGGCAGTATAACAACAGAAGGACTTATATGGAGTGAACTATGGTAACGTCCAAATTTTGGTCAACGCATGCATATGAATTAAATATATTATTTCATATCAACTAAATGCAATATATAAGTAATATACGCATAGTGATTACTGTTCTCTGTTGATATACTGAAGAATGGTAAATTTTCATGTGGAATACCATTTCTTTTTCAGGAGTTAAATCGATGAAAATTAAATCCAGTGAAGATACAATACTGATATTAGCAAAACTTATCATTAACCAGACATGAAGAAAAATCATGAAAAAAACAAACCCTGAACTGGTAAAAATAAAGTACATGTACAATTAATGTATAGTATTTCATTACAGCCATGTCACAGTATCCTGAATATAAATATATATGTCAGTTGTTAATTGGGCTGCATTTTTCATTTGCTTGTTTACATTAAAAGTCAGGAAAAAACAACATTTTATATTGCCAGGGACTGTCAACAAAATGTCCTAAAAAATACACATGTACTCTGCCATGATAATAAATTTCCTTTGATTCTAAAATCACCCAAATACACGCTGTTGCTTATATATTTCAGCTTTTTTTGAAGAGGATCCTGTTACAATTTATCATGTAGTTTTAGTCCTATCCAGATAGATGTGATTTTTACATTTTGTGACTGAACAGAAAGTCAATGACACCAAC